CGGATTTTATTGTCGTGCCCCGTGTAGTTTCTTAATCAGTTCGATGAGATTCCGAATAAAATGTTTTATGAACTAACTTTTAAAATTCCTTCAGATTCAGGGTCAGAAGTGAGCAGGTCTTAAGCATATGGATTCTTGGTTTCGATCCAATTGCAGTAAACATCGCAATAGGACATTAATACGGAAATCAAAGAAGCTATTTTTTCTGTTTCACCAGGATGTACCATCGTAGGTGACAACTGGAAAACATAATCGAACACAACATCTGTCGTCTTCTATCTAACTTGTTTTCGTTAGCGACCGTACCACAGACGCAAGTCGACATTCCGCTACTCTTTTCGGCATCGTTGTGCCATTTGTTACCAGCGTTAATCAAGCAGCTTCCTCGTTGGGCTGTTTTGGTGTGTTGATTGACGACCGAGTGAACATAGAGATCCAGTTCATAATTCAGGGTATCCATGTTGCTTTCAGACTAGCTACATGGCCGGCCTATTCTCCCTTTGAGTTGCAGGTTGCAGCGAGTACATGGAAAATTGTGTCTGATACCGAATGATCGCACTTGGAACATGATCTCGAAAGCAGACCTTGCGTATTCTTCTTCTCATCGCCTTCTGCATCACTGTTAGTGCCTTTTCCTCACCCTTGGTTGTAGACCAGCATTTCACGCCAAAAATCAAGGCAAGTAGGACGACGGAATCGAACTGACATTCTTTTGTAGTCATTGGCAGTACGCTGTTCAGCAGCGATGTCTTGCTGTGATTGAAACTTACCCATGCTGCCTGTTTTCGTCTGCAGATCTCAGTAGCCGACGTATATGTAGCTAGCAACTTTTCCACTTCTTTGCCATCACTAAAGATGCTACCTGCGGGACGGTACCCGTTGTGTTCGTTGTTGTAGATTTTCATCTTCAGACCGATGGCATGTTGATCCTGCAACTTCATAATCTTTGTTTATTTGGTTCATATATGATATGATCTGCTCTGTGAAGTGCAGATGGATGACCCGTTTTCCGTCGATGTTAATGCCGCCGCCCAGTTCAGACGGTAGAAGAGGGATTCCAACGCCATCGGGAAAAGTACGGGAGAGGTGAATGTCTCTTTGGCGTACTTCTGTACTGATTAGACACGGTTCATCATACCGCTTGGTGTCCGTTGCGGTGAAATTATTCAGTTCCTTCATCAGGTCGACGTAGACAGGGTTGGTGCTATGGTCTTGCAAGGCTTTCAGCGTGGCGCTCATCTCGATGGAATTGAACGCTTTGCTGAAGTTGACTGCTTAGCAGAGGGGAAATTGGCATCCGTTGCACTTCTGTGTTAACTTCTTCGCGATGTGGATGTGGTCTATGGCTTACTTACTTATAGCCTATGGAAACTTCTTCACAACCGGTTTGTTCTTTACTAGCGAGCAGTTCAAGGTCTTTTCGGATACGGCTGAAGATAATTAGGATAGAAAGTCCTTGTAGAGTTGTGACAGTAGAGCGACGGGTCGATAGTTCTGAAGGTCTTTCATGAGCATCACCTTTGCTGAATAGAAAAATTGTTGAAGAGCTCTTCCATGCTTCTAGCGTCTTCTGCTGCCTAGTATACTCTGTTAATCGTTCTTGGTGCCATACCAAGACATCTGTCATTCTTAATACTTTGATTGCACACTCTGCTTTGTCTATTGTGACATCGCCATTGTTTCCCAGGCAAAGTTCGGTGGCTTCCGGCTTGCCGGAGTAAAAATTGTACAACCTCGTGCAGATCGCTTTCATGTGACTGCTTTCTGTGGTTTTTGTTCCTCCTTCATACTTTAATGTTACGGATTCTGCTTTTTAGGGATGATGTCTTTTTCCGTGGCCTTCAGGCAATTTTTCTTTGATGTGGCCTCTTAGCTGCATTCTCCTGTACTCGCCATAGTCCTCCCGAATCATCTTTCGTAATTCTTTGCACAGCGCAATGTACTCTTCTGGCCAACAGTCTTCATTCGGACTCTTCTCCTCGACAGTTGCTTCGTTGCGGGCGAGGTTGGAACGTTGTTTCCTCATCGACATTACTGCCTGGCTGGATGGTTGTTTTGATGATATCGATGAACTGTTGGCAGTCTGAATCGATGCCTATGCCGATGTTCAGCTGATGAAGCCCGTCTGCAACTGCTTCATGATAGAATGCTTGTCGAATGGCCGGCGGTTTTTGAGCCCGATCCTCTTTACCGGCCTCTATTGTAATTGTGAGGCGGAGTAATCTGTGGTCTGATCCGATCTCTTACAGGCGGTGTTTTTCAAGTGAGAAGCACATCTCTGTTACCCGTTTGTGTTCATCAGGGCTTTGTCAGTTTGGTTAAGGATCGTCTCATTAAGTTTCCTTCATGTTCACTGCAGCTTCTGGACTTTTTCAAACATGGTTTTCCTGATGTGGCGGCGGTTACGGTCGGCCAATGCTACGAGGCTAGAATCGTGATCATTTCTTTGTCCATTTCCAACCCGGCGGGTGAAACGTTGTCACTCAGTTGTTTCGATTTTTACTATGGTGTTGAAATCTCCTTCACCGTTATTCGCACTGCGCTGTGAGTTTCTCGTTGAATTGCTCCACGTAGTCGTCTGGTTGGTGTGTTTTGAAGTATATTTCGATTGACTTTAGTGATCTTGACTCTTGGGTGACACTTCTCTACCCGCAGAACTAGTAAGGAGACACGAGATGACATGAGCCCGCAGCTAATTATGAGCGTGTGAAGCCCTCATCAATACGATGAATCCTACATCACCTGTTTAAGCTCGGTTTTCGTAAGCTTTCTTGATGAATATTTGTTCCCTGTTGTCTTTCACTGTATGATAAGTTGGGCGAATCTTCAGGTTTTGCCACATTGAGAACTTCTGCCTTAATCTTATTCGTCTCAGTGAAGTAGATGTCGGTGTGCGCGTCTGACGATAGAGTTCTCATGCTGTGGCCTAGCCATGAATATCAAGATCATATCCTTATGCCAGTTGCATCCTGATAATCACAGGGATTGTTTGTAATCCAATTCTTTGGTAAGCCGACGCAGTAGCCTACATTTAAGCCCAGACATTTTCCCGTACGTAACGTATTTTTTGCGAGTTTTATAGGCAGTTCATTCAGTGTTCCAACCCTCTTGATTAATACCATCCGTCCTCCACATCCTTCAGCTTGCTTATCGAAATCCAAAAGGGAGGCACTTGGTAAAGTTTTTATCACAATATGGTTCACTGATCATTGTTGGTCTTTACCGTCTCGGCCAACCGGAAAGGTCCACTGCAGTGTATCTAGCCGACTCTTTATACTGAAGAATGGAACACAACAGTTCTCAAAATAGTGACTATATATAGTAATGACTGATGATTATTAATTGTTCATTGATTATTGCAAAAAATTAATTCTTTCATGCAATAAATGTATGAAAACACGGAGGTCTGTGTTTCTTACTGAGACTCATAACAAAGCGAGAAGATTGATAATCGACGGTTGATTGTTGTTGATTAATTGTTGATTTGTTTAACTTAGTTTATTCTGCCTAAGATAACTACCATTCCCTTGGTAGAAACATTTCAGTGATAACGTTCAATAACAGATGAAGAATTTTCCCTGACATTCAACTATGCTTCAGTAGGTTGACGGAGATGACACGGCATTCTGATTCAGTGAGATAGATGAATATCAGTTATAGTTATAAATAATCTGTCTAGTACCTGGCTTTTCGGTTTCCTAAACAGAATCTACACCACCGACCATACGTTCGTCAACTGGGTGAAAAGCTGCGAAGTATTGGATCTGCGTTCGAACTCAGCCTGGTATTCAAAACTGGTGCTACTCTACGCAGCCACCTAAGCCACCTCAAGACCCAGAAATCTAAGGAGAAGAAAGCCTATTAGGTGTGCTAACTCCATGCTCCTGTATTTCGGTTTACATGAGTAAAACGGGTAACACGGTCGAAGAAATGAAAGCAGACCGCATGAGGAAAATTTGATCAGGTGAAAGAACGCTAATGCTAGAGAAAGGTGCCAACAGTAAGTCGGCAGAGATCAGATACAGACGAAAAAGGCTGAACTTATTAAGGCTGAATGCGAGAAAATTCTGCCGTTATTGAACATGCTGTTACCCACCAACACAACATATCGTGGGACAGAATATAAGGTCTCGCGCGGGGACCAGCAGTATCTGTCCCGCGAAGTCAAGGAAGCGTTATTGATCCGAGCAACCAACTGCACCAATCGTGACCTTGGAAAAGACGTCAGAGAAACATGGACCGCAGACATCACACGGCTGTCTAAGACCAGAAGGCAAACGCGGCACGATTAATCATTCGGGTGAACCAGACTTGCCTCATTACGTTACGTGCCTTTCTCATTGTACTCTGAAGACAGACCGACCTTGGTCCGAAACATCAGATGGCCTTAATTAAAGAACATTTTATGCGTTATTTTCACGTTTTGTGACTTACCGAAGTATCATATAAATATATATTGTATAAATAATGCACTTGTTTATTTTCTATAAAGCATATAATTTTCTTGTTTCTTCGATGAAAATCGATATTTCCCCGCATAATCCTTCTACTTTTGAATCCATATGATGTCCGCAGCAGTGGAACGCGGTTGTTCCTAACTTACACAGATTTCCGAGGATTCTTTCCCTCTGAGTGTGTCATTTTTGGCACTATTATATTGTCTCCATAGTCTTCAGCCAAATCATTTTCGTCTTCGTTCTGCACGAATTTGAAGATTTCTGTGTCAGTTCATTATCCAACAACGAATCACATTTCATCCATCATTTCCACATGGTCCAAATTTTCTGAACCATTTTGATAAATTAGATAAACGAATAAAGTTGATAAATAATCTTAATTTCTAACTTCATCTAAATCTTCATTCTATAATAGCTGCTTGACATGTAACAAATGTTGGAAAACGAATGTTGTTAACACTTCGGCTTTGTTTTGTACCTTGCCCTTTTCCTTGCAAACTATATCAAGCCAGCGTTTTCTCCAAGACTTCGAATACGTCGAATTTCTGTCCAAGCTTGAACCGTCATGTTTATGGTTTTTAAAGATTCCAACTGATTCAGATTTTCGTGGCGGAAAATGGAAGAGATGCCATTTTTTCCAGT